GAAGTGGTACCTGTTTGTATTTGTTGAGTACCTAGTTGATTTTACATTGACAGGACCACCTATTTGGATCTGAAATGAGGAAAGAAATAAAATCAACCTTCCCTGATGGTTTGGGTAGTTTTATTATGAAGTCTAAATAGTTGTTGACTAATTTTGATATATTTAAAAGAGAATGCTTCACACATATTGAGGCTTGAAAGAAATATACTAGTATGTGTACATGATTGTATTTACCTTTATAGGTGCTAATTTGATTAAATATGGTCAGTTTGTATTTTAATGCAAAGATAGGTATATTTCATCAGAACCAGCCATGTCTGAAAGACACACATGTATGTGTGTATGTGTGTATAAGATATAGACTTATTCTCAAGAAATAATTCACGAGGATACTTGCTCCAATCAGTTTAATCTAATTATTTTATTATCGCTTCCTGGCATAGGTCTTATATATGAATAATATTCATACTTACTCAGACTGTATTAAGGCTGGATAGATTCTCACTGGAGATTCATCTTTAAAATTAATTTTAGTAACACAGAAAATGAGAAAAAATTAAGAAATAGCTTTATAGTCCAAATATAATGTGGGATAAAAATGCCGAGAGACGTATAAAATTCCAGCCTTTAAATACTGTCAAAGTGAAGTAACATAATACTAAAATACTTTAAAAGACTTGTAAAATAATATGGATAATCTGCCCTGCAGTGGTAAACCAAAATTTAGGTTCCAATTCTATCATCAAGAAAAGAAATCTATATCAACGTAGATCTATGGGGACATGGATAATGTTGGTAGTATTAATAGTAAGGAGACAATACCTGGGATTTGTGTGTGTGTGTGTATGTGTGTGTGTGTGTGTGTGTGAGCGTGCGCGCTCACACCTGCCACTTACTGGGGTTTGAACTCGGGGCCTGGGCACTGTCCCTGAGCTTTTTCTTTGCTTAAGGTTAGTATTGTACCACTTAAACCTCAGCTCTATTTCTGGCCTTTTGCTGTTTAATTATAGATAAGAGTCTTATGTATGTCCCCCCTGCCAGACAGAGCTAGCTTTGAACCTCTCTTCTCAGCTCTCAGCCTCCTGAGTAGCTACAATTACAGGCATGAGCCACCTAGCAATACCTGTGATTTTAAAATGTTTTGTTCAATGGTAAGGGTTTCAAAATTTTAAATATGTTTATATATATATTTATGTATATTTATATATTTACATATATTTTGAAACCCCAATCAATATATATATCCATATGGACATATATATCCATATATAGATATAAATGTATCTCCTTCTGTTTATAAAGATTTTCCTGAAAGAAACCAAGATTCTTTTTAAGTTCTTGCTTCTTTGCAGAAACCTAAAGGGAGGGCTACTGTAGTAAAATATGACACTAAAACATAATTAGCTGCACAGGAGACAAAGAGGCCTCTCCAGTTAAACCCTAATTAGAGGACAGAGCTGAGTTTTGTTCCACCTCAAACCCAGCTCTCCATGATAGTTTTAACAACTCTTCTCATACCCACTTTAAAAGGCAAAGGTGTCCTTAGAAATAATGAGCTTTTATGGATTAAAGTTCTATTATTCTCATTTTATGGAGAGATTTGGACCTGATTCTGGAAAGCTATCCAATCTCTGTGGTTCTTTGGCAACACCACCTGTTTTGCTAAACAGTAGCTCTTAGAACAAAATGGTTGAACAATTTGGCCCTAGGACATGTTTTCTGAACATGTGCCTGGCAAGGATGAGTAATGGGTGCCATCTACCAATTCACCAGACAAAATGAATACTGGGGCACGGCCAGTTATAGTTCCAGGATCCCCAGACTTCTGCATTTTTTCTTTCCTATTATTAGAAAAGAAAAATGGGAATGAATGCCACTTATTTGGGTTTCATGTTAGCTGTTTACCTACTAGAATTGATTACTTGCCCCAAATGACATGGTCTGAACAAAAGTTTGTCACAATCACTAAATGAAACTTCTGGTATATATGTGTTTATGTATAAAAGAGAGCTTAATTAATATAATACAGTGGGAGGTAGTAAAAGTAGTTTAGATTTCTAATCAAAATTGCACCAAAGTGATTCAGTTTCTAGCTAGTGAACTCAAATCTACACTGGAACAATTATGAAATAAAATTGAGTCACCAGGAAATATACTTAAGTTAGCATTTTAAGCTCATTAATATTATTTCTTTTTGGATAGCAAGGTAGTAACTAAACCAGTTAAGCAACCTTGTATGAAAAAAATCACGTTTTCTAGATGTCAGGAAATTTTGACATGAATTTTTGAAATGTCTACTTCCTCATATGTACACTAAGTGTTTTTCTTAAATTGACATATAAAATTGTACATATTTATGGAATTCCATATGATGTTTAAATACATTGTATATATAGTACAGTATTTAAGACAAGCATATCGATCTCAAATATGTATCATCTGTGCTGAAAACACTCAAATTGTTTATCATAGCTTTTATACATAGAACGTTATCATTACTTATGTTTATCCTACTGTGCTACAGTACACCTGAGCCTATTTCCAGTATCTAATTTTAATTTAGTCCTCATTCACCACTGTCCATCCAATGATAACCAGCATTCTACAATCCACTTCTGTGAGATCATTTTACATGCGACTGAAATCACGCAGTACTTTTCTGTCAGCGTCTGGCTTATTTCATTGAACATAATGACGTCCAGTTCCATCCATGTCACAAATGATAGGATCTAATCCTTTCTCATGGCTGAACAGTATTCTGTTAAACACTAGGAGTTTAGACAAATTTTCATTCAAGTGCTCAAATATGTTAAACAAAAAGTCATTATAATGAGAGCATTCCCATTTTCTTTACTTAATACTGGGTGGAGGAAAGTATGTTTGCAGTAGTCTTGCTTTTGGAGAGCCCAGTGATCACTTAGTTGTCTGTGTGTTCTAATAGAATTCTTTACACAGTATAGTTAGACAGGAGAGGATAAATAATCAAGAGTTTGTCAATTACCTAGTCAACAGCATTGAGTTTTATCAGATGTTCTTAGCTGACCATTCGCAACCTGGTTTAATAGAGAGTTTCTAGTTCAAGAGAACAATGGAAAATACACACGTCGAATGGGACTTATTATGAGCGATGGATCAGGGTGCTTATGGAGGCTGAGACATCCCAGTCTTTGCTATTTGCCTTCTGGAGGCCCAAAGAGTTGAAATGTTTGAGGGCAGGAGAAGAATGTCCCTGCACAAGCAGAGAGAAATTTGCCTTTCCTCTGTTGTTCTATTATTTGTGTCTTCAATAGATGGACTGGATGATGTCATCACATTGTTGAGCATGCTCTTTTCCTCAAATCCAATGACAACCTCTCAGATATACTGGGAAATAATGTTTCATACCAACCTAGCAATCTGAAAAATCCTTTGTTGAGACAGGTGGACAGAGAAATACCTGCCAATCCAAATAAACAAACTAAGGAACGTGAAAGGATACCTCTATGTCTTATCCTCGAAGCAATTGCTATAGTTTTCATGACAATTGACCAAAGGAATATTATGAATATAAGAACAGTCTAATTCATCACTTTCTGTGGAAGGGATATTTCTAAAGAAAATATCTTCAACAGAAAACAATCTGTTCTTTTGAGTTGGCACTCAAACAGTTCACTTGATTTGTCTTTCCATAACTCTGGGTACTTCAATCCAGTACTGCGGAGAAGTCAAAACTTCTGTCATTCTGAAGGAGGAAGTGCAGGTTGCTGATCTGGGGAAGGACAACAAAGCTAACACTCTGCTTGGTCTTCTTGCTTGAAGGCTGTCTCCCAGCATCTGCAGACAGATGCTCTGGGGCCTGACGGCTGAGTTTCTGGACTTCCTGCCTTCCTCTGGCCCCTGGGACTCTGTGTCATCTTCACTCCTCTTCACTGGCCAGGCTGCTCCTCCCCTGTGGCTGCTGCCAGCCCCAAGTATCCACGGTGTTCACCCGGGCCTGCTGTGTCCAAACTATCAGACGGAATTTAAGTTTTCTACCTGAGAAGCCCTAAATCTCTGCAGCATCACATTAAGAACAAATAGAATTCTTTCACTTAATGTCGTTCCTAGTCAAAACAATTCTGCCTCGCTGTTATGGCTTATATCTGCTTACATGCATAAATGTCCTTCACCTTGCTTCATGTTTAAGATTTGTCTTCAGGAAAATATGAACTGCAACTGGAGGGAAAATGCACATTTCAGCAATACAAGAAAGGAATGAATCTAGTCCTACAGTGGCGATGGATAACACCTGTTCCCCAATGAATATAAACAAGGCCTGGTTCATAGTTCTAATTAATTAATTTTATTAACTTGGAGCCAGAAGGAGGTGGCAACTTAAACAGGAAAATAAAATGCAGTAGACCTCACCAGACTAGTTCCATATAACTGCTTTTTAACTGAAAGTAAAAGAGCAGTCACTTACTCATTACACATAATAAAGTAAATTAGGTAGACAGTATAGCACAGCCTAGCTTCTATTTATCCACAGTATGTGTGTGAGAGAGAAAGAGGGAGAGAGAAAGAAAGACTGAGGAGATATTTTTCATTTAGTGCAAGTAGCAAGTTTATTTTCTTTGCTATCTTAACAAAGGAATGTTGCTGACATGAGGTACAGTTTCAACATTTGCATATGAACACTTTCTTTGAAATACTTATTCAGATCTTGGTTAAAATTATTGATTGTCAGCTTTAAAAAAAATAAAATTCCAAGTTTGTTTACAAGAATAACAAGAAAACCTTTCAATATACTAGTTTTATTCTAGAGTCATAATTCTGTAGGGAGGGTGTGTGTGTGGAGGATCTTTCTCTGGGCTACAGATCAAGAGTTTACAGCAGCACAGTAATTCTGTATGTATGTATGTATATATATATATATATATATATTATATGTATATATAAATATATATATATATGTACCCACACTCATATGAAAGCATTTATATTTTGCCAAGAAAGTAACACATTTTCATTGTATTGTTTTGGAAGTGCACTTAATTGTCATATAATTAACCTGGAATAATAATGTTAGTTGTCATTTCCTTAGAGCTTTGATATATAGTTATATGTTTTTAACATTACAGTGGTGAAAGCTAGGCCTATATAAATAATAAGTATGGAATATTCATGGATAGATAGCAAAGCATTAGACTGATGTCTGGCATTCACTAATGTAGAAAACAGTTAAGTGAAAACTTCAGTGACTTACAAAGATGGAATTTTCTGAAGGACGTATTGCTGAACACATGGCCACCCACCTTGCTCTCTAAAGCAATATGTATAATTTAATCACCAAATATAGAACAGATGAATACAAGGAGACAAAAAAAGCATTAAAGCCCATTACAGTCTTGAAAAAGTCAAAACTTCAAGTACATAGGAAAAGCATTACAACCATGTATTTAGCTTGATTTTTCCCCCTAATATATTATCATAAGTTAAAACTATATAAAGTCACTTATATAAAAGCATTTTTTCAAGTGTTATAGCTTAGAGCATGGCTTTATGTTTGGCTTAATCATTTTTTACCAGTTTAATTTATAAAGCTCGTAATCTTGCCAGCAGGGCTTCAACTTCAGGAATGGACTCATTTTTAGAAGCAGAACCAGGAAGTTCCATGTCCTTTTTTCTGTTGCTTTCCACATTACAGGCTTCCTTCTCAGCTGCCTTGATCCTCCCAGCACACGTCTGAGTGTCTAGATTATAATTAAGCTCCTTGGCGGCTGGAGTCCTTGTGGAGTTGCAATTGATATTGTAGTGAGAATGTGCCCCTTCTGTCAACGGCACTTTCTGATTTTCTACGGTAAGGAAGAGAGAAGCATAAAACTTGTCACTGTGATCACCAATGACTGGGCACATTCTAAAAAGTATATTTAAATGATTATTCTTAATAAGCAAGTCGGTTACAGGCTACACTTAACAATATCCAATAGAAAGATAAGATTTAAAATAAACATGCAGAAGAATGAGCATTTCGTTAACATTAATGAATTCCTTTATATCCCCAATATTTACCACTAGGTTATTATCAGGGTCCGGGCTAATTTCATTCAAGTTTTAGTTCTAACACTGCTTACACAAAGTAGTCTTGTCTAACTGTTCATCTAAATATTCTTTGCCTTGCTAGCATCCTAACTCCTTCCCTTTACAGAATTCATGGCCATAACACTTGTCCACAGTGTCTTTGCACTGGACTATGTTTTCTTAAAATGAAGAAACACTGTTTTAAACCAGTGCTTAGAATGGCCTTGGTGTAAGAAAAGTGGTCAATAAATACTTGAGTGAAGAAATTATCTGCTACATTGTACCCCAAGACAAACATTAGTGTAATAGTGAGATTCATTTTCCTTTGGAACAACATCCAGGAAGTAAGTTTGAATAATTTTTTTTTTCTGTCAGTCCTAGGGCTTGACCTCTGGGCCTGGGCTGCTGTCCTTGGGCTTCGGTGCTCAAGGCTAGTGCCTTACTACTTGAGCTCCACTTCTGTATTTTTGTGGTTAATTGAAGATGAAAAGTCTCACAGACTTTTCTGCTGGGGCTGGCTTTGAACTGGGATGCTCAGATCTCAGCCTCCTGAGTAGGATTACAGGTGGTGGTGTCCTGCTTAATAAGAATTTAAAAAATCTTCTTTAAAAGGAATAATGAATTTGGCTTCTGAGCAAGGTGGAATCATGGGATAATGTAATTGTCATCATATGTACACATATTCACGTATATGTGGACATGTGTACATATTCATGCAACATCAGGTAAGCCATGGTGATCCTCATTGACCAAGATAGTTACAATAGCTAACAATTAAATGGTTCTGGCCAGCTGACCTCCCCAAACAGAACTAGATTTTCCTTTTAATTAACTGACTCATATTGAATAACCTTCTGAGTTGTGTGTCTTATAAGATCGCAGACTTAAACACTTGACTCAATATTCATGTAACCTTGAACAGGGCTCGAAAATGGCTTCAACAAACTTGACATGACATTTAAAGTTTTTTTGGTTATTCGCTGAGAGATGTTCCATTATCCCAATAGTAATGACTTTGGAGCACAAGCAGTCACTCATGACAGTGTGTTTTATGTGAGTGCTGAAAATTCCAACCGAAAACAGCTTGTACATTAAAAGGTGGCTGCTGACGATATTTACTGCACTGTCATTTCCTGACCAGGGGCTTCCAGTGATGGATGAGTATTTTACACACTTTCTTGGACAATCTCAACAAATTTTCCGAGTATGATCACCTTTTAGCTGTGGGAAGAAAATAAATACACTTTTCTTATCACTTCTTCTTATCAGGCAGACAATTGTTACTCAAAAACCAAAACCTAATACAGCAGTGATTTTCTCTTAGAACAGTTTATGTGCTGAGCTTATAATGTACACACTGTTCTTGTAGTAAAGAGCATACAGACATGGCAGTTCACCACATAAATTAATTTTTTTCTAGCATGCACCCACTCTCTTGCCCTAAAGGGGTCTAAAAGGTGCATTTGTAGCTAACAACAGACTTAGTCAGCTTACTGCTGCCTCTCCAAAACATTCTTATTGCTTTGGGTCATTTGATTTCTTATAAATGATTCCCTGCTATCTCCAACAAGCCATTTTATTCTGTTACTGGGAAGTTGTAGTTAAAAGACTGCAAAGATGAAGTTGGCTAAAATAAAGATCTGGAATAAAATATATGTACAAAAATGTGTAATTTCTATGGTTATATATAATCAAGCTTAATTCTCTAGGTAGGAAAGTGAGAAGAATATGTTTTTTTTTTTAAGGCACATATGAGATGAAATCCAAGCTTTAAGAGGTAACTCAACTTTTCTGAGTCTCGGGTTCTAGTAATCAACTTCAAACAGAATCTGTGAGGATTAAAGGAAATAACGCAGTTGGCACCTACACAAAGACCTTACTTTTCCTTGCTCTTTCAAAGCTGAATGAGCCCTGAGTCCTGGGTGGGGACGCCTCCCTGAGAAAGCTTTGAACAAGGAAGGAAAAGCAAGGTATCTATATCTAGGTACCACCTACGTGATTTCTTTTAATCCTTTGGCTCATTCTCTGACTGTTGGTGAGTGCTGAAATTCCATCTTCTAAATAGCTTACATTTCCATGGACTTTAATTTATAAAGCATATTGTTACACTTTAAACATTACCACCCTCACAGTATAGACTGAGGGGGAAAAAGTAAAAGGTGGTTAAGTCCCTTGTGAAGATTATTACTAAGTTAGTGGCAGAAGCTAGATGCTGTCTCTAGAGACACTGGGGCTTCCTTTAAAAAAAAATCTGAAAAAATTTGCCAGAGAAAAGTACTAAGTAATTCAAAGCTAAAGTTTCATAATCATGATGTCTTGTACTTACACTTCAAAACACTTTCTGGCACACTTCATCTTCATGCTCATGTTGTAAAGCAGATATAATATCTTTATAAACGACCTTACTGGAGTGTGTGCAAGGTCACACTTGCTCTTCCTGTCCTCGTCTCACTCAGAATAAAGACTAGAAATTTCAAACACAATCTCCTCCCCTCATTCTTCTGGAAAACGATTTTATACCTTTTCCCTTTCTCTTTCCAAATTTTCCCCTGCTCAATCCATTCACAGAAACAATCTGAAAGAAACTCTCACGATCAGCTCCTCCATCTATTATACACCAACTACACACATATAACATTCCTTCCTTTTCTAAGGAAACATTGGTCTTTTGAGCTCTCCTCTAAGTACAACCCCTGAGATGTTACTCTTACTTATTTATTGTAAGATACCCCTTCATTAGCTGGGCCCTTCCTACTGCATTGTAAAGGGTTTTCTTTTTTTTCTGTATGATTAACTCCTGCAGCATATACCTTTGTTGTGATCACCTCACACTAAAGAGAAAACAAAAATCTCTATTTGTTTCCCCATCCTGCTTCAGTACAACCATTCTTGGTTTTCTTGGTTTACTTTTTAGCAAAAAAACAAAAAATCTTGATAGAACGCATCATGGTTACTGTTCAGTTCTATCTATTCCTTCTTGACCTCATGCTAGTGAGGCTTCTGATCATTCTTCTTTCCACAAACCTTTGTTACGGTCATTAATAAACTTTGTGTTGCCACTCAAAACAGGATTATGCATCCATTTGGACATCTTCACTTTTCCTTTACTGGATCTCTACCAGATCCAAGGGTGAAAAGCACTGCATGAGTCCTGGCTTCTCTTCTGCTGGTCCTTCACCTTCTTTGGAGGCTTAGGTGAGTGACAATGAGTGAGCTGACACAAGCAAGAGAGTTTCTACTTGTACAAGAAACTCAGAATAGCTATAGGCTTGCTTTCAGACAAAATGATCAGAGAATAGGATGGTGGTGTCAGGGGAGGAATCTCTCATGAGAAATAACAGATAAGAGGACAGAAACTATTCCTGAAACTATTAAGGAAATACAAAGACGCCCACCCTCCCCCCCCCTTTTTTAAGTTTAGGATGACCTTATAGCCCTCTTAGAAGGTGTTAGGTACGTGTTCACTCCCAGGACTCCAATTTACTGCTCAGGACCCCTAACCAGCCCCGACCTCATCTTCAGTTTCATTTTCCTTTGTCCTCAGCCATGGCAGACCCAAACTGTGGCACTGAGGGAGTCACATCCTACACTGAAAAGCAGACGAACTAGAAAAATGATTGTGGATGGAGAAATCTTCAAATTTTGAATTTCATTTTAATATAAAAATCTCATTTTAATATAAAAATTTCATTTTAATATAAAATTTCATTTTAATATAAAAATTTTGGTTGGAAGATAGATGATTTTTGTCATTACTATGCTTTAAAGAGTCTTTTTTTGGGGGTGGGGGTGGTTCTGAGGCATGAATTCAAGTCCTGGGCACTGTCCCTAAGCCTCTTCATGCTCAACACTAGAACTACCACTTGAGCCACAGTGCCACTTCCAGCTTCTTCTGAGAGTAGTTTATTGGAGATATATAAGTCTCATGGACTTTTCTGCAGGGATTAGCTTCAAATCAAGATCCTCAAATCTCAACTTCTTGAGTAGGTAGGATTATAGGCATGAGCCACCAGCACCCAGCTTTTAAAAAGATTTTTAACTTCATGTGGGCTAGACTGGAGATCTAAATTCCAAGCAAAAACAGTTTCTAAATGATTGACTTCCAAACAACAGAGGAATGACAATCAGGTTAATTAGAAGGAAATCTGTACAGGTGTTTAAAATCATAAATAAATTGTTATTTGATGTAAATAAGCACATTCTTTACATATGAAACAAGGCACACTTGGTCATATGAAAAGCAAAGCCGGATTCCGACTAAAAGAGAAACATTTTTAAATTTCTCCTTAACACAAACCTTTGCCAACACACATTTTAAAATGGGAGCTAAACACAGTAAAATAAAATGACTGCTTAATTCTCTAAAGGGAGTATAGTACGTTTGTACTAATTTATGAATTAAACTTAGGCTTTCTGTTTTTGTCCTTTAAGATATTACAATTGATGTCTATGTGTGATCCATCCAGGACTCCTGCCAATATTCAGGGCCATTGGTGAATATAGGACACACAGGCAAAGAACCAATTGCTATTCTTAGTACCAAATCGGTAAGGGAATCCAATTCACATATCTTGCATTTGTGTTCTGCAGAAGTAAACAGGATGAGAATGCATGCCATTTTGCTTTGAGAAAGGAAGGTTTAACTCCCTTAATGAGTGCTGCTATAAGGACTGAATGTAGGAACTCCCCCCTCCCCATCACACTCTTTCTTCCTCCTGAAATTGAATGAAAAGTAAAACTTGCTGAAAATTGAACAGCTCTCAAATACAAAAAC